TACTCAGAAGTGGACCCTAGTTCCTGGAAATTTTAGTTTTTTTTGTTTTTTTGGTGCCTGTGCAGGTTTGGTGCATCTAGTGGTTTGTTTTTTTGTTTTTTCGGGTGCCTGTGCAGGTTTGGTGACTCTGACTTCACAAAACATTGACAGGCACCAAAAAAAAAACAAACCACTAGATGCACCAAACATCGACAGGCACCAAAAAAAACAAAAAAAAAAACAAAAATTCCAGCAACTACTCAGAAGTGGGCCCATAGTTCCTGGAAATTTTAGGTTTTTTTTGTTTTTTTTGGTGCCTGTGCAGGTTTGGTGCATCTAGTGGTTTGTTGTTTTTTTTTGGTGCTTGTGCAGGTTTGGTACATCTATTGGTTTGTTTGTTTTTTTGATGCCTGTGCAGGTTTTGGTGATTCTAGATTGTGTATGTTTGGATCTTGGCCATATTTTAAACTTATGTTTCAAAGAAGGAAACATACCGTTATCTTTGAATAGCTATGCCACCACACAGGTTGCCTGACCTTAATATTCAACAGCTTGACACACGTCTTTGTCTCTTTGGCTTTCTCTCTCTCTCTCTCTGTCTAATTATTGAAATGAGACTGCTGACAAGACTCTGCAAGATAACAATGATAAACGAGATATGTACCTACTTCTTGGGTTGTAACATTCCCACCATCCTTCTTATCCAGAGTGTTAGATGTGCTTGTGTTATACCCACCTATATAATGTATGCCCTTCCCACCATACTTCTTATGTAGCGCAAATGCTTCTATATACAATATATGTTAAGATGATATCAATCTAACAAGTTCATGAAGAAACAAACACCTATATCATATCAATTGCTTTTAGCAATATAATTTCTCCATCACCTCCATCACACTAGTCACCTATTGCTACTGTATATTCTGTTCCAAGATGTGCAGCTACCCATTCTTATGGCATGTTGTGCAGCAGATGTTTTCTGTTATGTGCTGATTGTTTGTAGTTCTTTGCAAGCCTCACAGGAAAAATTGAATCCTGCCACAAGAGTCTGTAAATGCCAGTGATTTATGACTTTGCTTAATGTTTCATACAAAATTTACGCCTATATCTTGAAATCAAGACTAGCTATGGCGCTTGAAGAACACCTCAGTCCGACGCAGTTTGGTTTCAGAGCATCCAGATCCACTATTGACCCACTATTTTGCCTAAGAAGACTCACGGACGTCGTAGAACAAGGTCACGATAAATTAATTCTGATCTTCCTAGACTGGGAAAAAGCTTTTGATAAAATTAGTCATGAAAAAATGTTCCAATCCCTCCATAGAATGAGTATTCCAGTTGAAATCCTTGATGCCTTAAAAGCTATTTACCAGAAACCGATGTTTCAAGTGATGCACCGAGATAAATTTTCGTCATGGTTGAGCCAACGTACTGGAATCAGGCAAGCCTGTCCCCTCAGCCCATACCTATTCATTGTGACAATGCACATGCTATTTCATGATGTTCACCGCAGGTTCAACGACCCACGCTACGCAAAAACTTTCCAAGGAATTAATTTCCGCGAATTGCTGTACGCAGATGACACATTAATTCTGACCAAAAGCTTTGCCAGTGCTAACCAATACTTGCACCTTATCGAAGAAGAATCTCAATATCTGGACCTCAATCTAAACAAGTCAAAATGTTGCTACATTGCTTTCAACTGTCGCGGTTCTATCACTTTCCAAAATGGGGATCCTATGAAGTCGACCGATGAATCTACTTACTTAGGAGCTTCTATCACTCGCACGATCAATCCCAAACATGAAATAAGACGACGAATCTCAGCTACGATGGCCATTTTGAAAAAATTGGACGTTTTCTGGGGAAAAGCGTAATGCAACAGATCTTGGAAACTGCACGTTTTCAATGCTGTAATTACTAGCAAAGTTCTCTACGGCCTAGAAACCTTGGAACCAACTGAGTCAGCTGGACGTCTTCTCAACACGTTCCAGCTCAAAGGCTTACGAAAGATTCTGAAATTACACACAACATACATATACAACGCCACAACACCAATGAATACGTATACCGAAGGGCAAATGAAACCCTTAACGCGCCGACTACAGGTTTCGATCGAAAAATCAAACCTCTGACCGAAATTTTGGAGGAAAGAAAATTCAAATTACTCGGACACATCCTCAGGAGAGACAGAAACCACCCTCTTCACCAAGCAACTTTTTCAACAACATCCGCTCTCCCGAGAGAAACTGAAATGCGAAGAGTCGGAAGACCCAGACAGTTTTGGACCAGTAACAATATGCAAAAATCATGGGAAGTGATAAGAAACACTGACCCATCGGCACCCCAAATCCCATTCGACAGATATAACAGAGAGATACGGGAACGAATCATCGAACAAGCCCATCTTTACCAGCCCCCTTTTCACAAAGGAAACGGTTGAAGACTACACAGCTCAAACTCAGTGTGAATGACTCTCAGTGTGAACTATTCTCAATGTGAAGCTCTCCAGTGTGAGACACTTTCAGTGTGAACTACTCTCAATGTGAAATATCATCAATGTGAAGGCTCTTAGCAATAATTGGAAACTTGTTCTCTATACTTTCACAAGTGAACGTGGCCTTAGGAATGTATATCTTTTAATTCAAAGCTAGTTAGTGCCTACGACCTTTAGCGATGACCAGGCTGGAGGTTTGGAAAAAAAAACATGAGAGCCTTTGGAAGTGAACTCCTTTTTTTTGCTCTAAAATAGCGGTTTTAAGCCCACTTTGGTCACAAAACACTGTAAATACTAGTATTTTTGACAATTTTTAGAGCAAAAATCACTCCCCCATGCCTGCTCAAAAAAAAAATCCTAAAACTATTTCACACGATGGAAATCACACTAGACAAGAGTGGATCTTTTAAGAGATCCGTCGGGAACTGAGTCCCCTAACATGCACCTAGATTAGTTACATATATATATAATATATATATATATAGGGGACTATGGTGACCACCAGCTGCGGCTTATATGCGCCCAGGTGCGTCACCCGCGTTACTTAAACGAATTACCAAATTAAAGTGTGTAAATTCGGAAGTCAGGACAGTCAACAGTCACCCTAAACAGGGTTGCCTCAAATGGCTCCATGGCACCATGTCGGAGCCACCATGGATATTACACTAGACAAGAATGGATCTTTGAATAGATCCGTCAGGAACTGAGTCCTGTAACATGCAATGTTATTGGGGTTCTTGGCTTAGCCCCTTGCCACGTCAGTATAAATTACAGGAGTCATTGACATATAAACCAACAGCGTAAAGAATATAAAGGTGCAGGTACGTCAGTGCTGGCCGGGCACTGATATCACGTCCACTTGGTGCGGTCTTTGTTAGATGAGGCACACCAAGGGACCCTCATCCCCCTGCATTATTATTAGAAGGGGAGAGGAAAGAAGAAAGAAAAGGAGATAAGTTTTACATCTATTTAGATGTTACACACAAACACACACACCCGGCCGGAGCCGGGTCAACCCTGAAAGGCAAGAGGAAGAAAAAAGCGGACACAGACGAAGGGCCAACGACCAAAACAGCGCAGGGGGGGAAGGGAAGGGAACAGACGGACCTCCGGAACCAACCTACACGGCGAAACGGACCTGACAAAAAACAGGGCACACACCTAAACCCCACAACACAGTACGGAGAAGCCGCGAGGGGAGGGTAATTAGGGACCAAATGGGGGATTAGTTGGTGACGAGAGTAAAACAACCAAAACAATTACCTAAACAAGGACTCAGCTCCACAGTTCCTAAATGTCGTGCGTTATTCCCTTGCCGGGTCGGTAGTCAGGTCAGCCCAAGGGCATAAAACAGCTGTACGAGTTCCAACGAATTAGGCGCACAAAATGTTTGACCTCACCAAACAACCATCAAAAGAAAGAGTCACCAAACCTGCAAGCATGAACCTGCCTTGCTGTTGTAACAATTTTTCAAAAGCTGAAGCTGCAGTAAAAACGGGGTTTCTGATTGTTCAGCACGGCTTCACAGTCGGAGAAGTGCAGTAGCTAGGAATCCTTGGGGCCACAGGAGCCGCGGGAATTTTCGAAAAACGGTGAAGAACCGAAAGGCCAACTGTTTCGCGTTATTTAAACGAATTACCAAATTAAAGTGTGTAAATTCGGAAGTCAGGACAGCCAACAGTCACCCTAAACAGGGTTGCCTCAAATGGCTCCATGGCACCATGTCGGAGCCACCATGGATATTACACTAGACAAGAATGGATCTTTGAATAGATCCGTCAGGAACTGAGTCCTGTAATATGCAATGTTATTGGGGTTCTTGGCTTAGCCCCTTGCCACGTCAGTATAAAGCACAGGAGTCATTGACATATAAACCAACAGCATTAAGAGTACAAGGAGCACATCAGTAAAAATCACAGGAGTCTTTGACAAATAAACCAACAGCGTAAAGAATATAAAGGTGCAGGTACGTCAGTGCTGGCCGGGCACTGATATCACGTCCACTTGGTGCGGTCTTTGTTAGATGAGGCACACCAAGGGACCCTCATCCCCCTGCATTATTATTAGAAGGGGAGAGGAAAGAAGAAAGAAAAGGAGAGAAGTTTTACATCTATTTAGATGTTACACACACACACCCACGCGCGCGCGCGCGCGGGGGCATGTTTGTACAATTTTGTACACACTAATCACAAAACTGATGTCAGCCATGCCTACGCTCCTACATGCCCCACAGTTCCGCTCACATCCATCTTCCACCGCCTCCTTCCTTTTTTTTCTGACTTCACCATTTCCTCTGTCACAACCTGTTTTCCACTGTTTGGAGGAAGTTGACATGTGGGTTTACCCGGTCCTTAATGTCATCTGAAATAAGCTCAATTGCCAGGGGCGATTGGATTTGGAGCATGCAAGTGCCAAGATTGCCAAGAGGACCAGCGACATGTCCCAAAAGAGTTTGATAGATACACACATTTGACAGCATGCGGCTGCTCCCCAACGATCGTTAGCCAAGTGTGATGCTCAGGTTCATCAATGGCATCTTACGGTGCAAGGGTGCTGCCAAGGCCATTGACCAAGTGGCTCTTCATACTGAAATGAGGCTCCTGCTGGGCAGGGCTCGGACCAGGTTGCACCCAAGCAAAGCCAGCTATCAAATGGCCAGGGGGCTTCTAATCATTCAGCCTTACAAATTTCTGATTGCATATGGTGTATGGAGGTTACGCAATAGTAATATTATGGCTAAATGGTGCAGATGCTGGTTGCAAAAAAAGCTGGATTGATTGCATTTTGACTTCCCAAAGCCAGACAGACACCATAACAAAGATAACATGTCCAAGCTGTTTGACGTCCGTTTGTTTCTCACCTGGGTGGCTCAGGTGGCAGAGTTGCGTGCCTATACTGTTTTGCAGTCCTGTTGTTTGTTTGTTTGCTTGACCTCGCAGTGCTTCATCACTTGTGTCACGTGTTTGTTCTTTATGTTTTGTTTCTTTGTTTGTTTGATTGATTGTTTGGTTGGTTGGTTGGTTAGTTGGTTGGTTGTTTGTTTGTTTGGTCGTTTGTTTGTTTGGTCATTTGTTTGTTTGTTTGTTTGTTTGGTTGGTTGGTTGTCCGTTTGTTTGTCCGTTTGTTTGTCTGTTTGTTTGTCCGTTTGTTTGTTTGTTTCTTTGTTTGTTTCTTTGTTTGTTTGTTTGTTTGTTTATTTCTTTGTGTGTTTCTTTGTTTGTTTCTTTGTTTGGTTCTTTGTTTGTTTCTTTGTTTCTTTCTTTGTTTGTTGGTTTGTTGGTTTATTGGTTTGTTTGTTTGATTTGCTTGTTTGATTTGTTTGTTTGTTTGTTTGTCTGTTTGTGTGTGTGTGTTGGTTTGTTGGTTTGTTGGTTTGTTGATTGTTTGCTTTTTTGCTTTTTTGTTTGTTTGGTGCTTGTTGGGTCTAGTCCGTTTATCTCTGTCTTGTTGTCCATGTCTATGTCCCCATTCATCCATCATATCCATCCATGTGTCCATCCATCTTTCTACCCGTATCCATGCTTACCACTCTGTCAACCAGGTCTTTGTCACAAATTTGAGTCCCTTCGTGGTGGTCACTTTGATGGCAATTTTGATGCAAGTCTCATTGGTGAAAAAACAGACCGATCTATCAGCCAATGATGTCATGGACCCCTCAACCTAAAATGTACTAAATAAATTCAATGTGCTTGCTTGTCAATTTGCTGGTTTAACCGCTTATGTTTACGCCCGATGCTCCCAGCACATGGCGCTAGGAGTTTGCACAAGAAGCTGACGAAGATATTGCAAATGTGCGAACAGATACCAGGAGCTCGGGTTTTTGGGATGATTGCGCTGAAGCCCTTGATGGCACACATGGAACCCAACAAAGGGGCTAAAAGAATATTTTATTCTCTTTGGAAATTAAGGTTTTTTCTGGGTTTCATGTTGAAGGGGAGTTTTTTTTTGCAATGTAACTTCTGTTCGACAGAAGCTTGCTGCTTCAATTTCCATAACACATGTGTCTATGTAAAACTATTAAGAGTCGTGCATAAATATAACTATTTACATGTGAATATGCATGTACATTTTCGTTCTATACGTACAAAAGGTGTAATGTTCGTTGTTGATCAGAGTGCCCCTCCTCGCCCTAAAGACTTGGATGGGGACGAACAACATCGAACAACTAGTGTTTGGGCACCTGGTTTGGGGAACCAAAGATCATGATCTGAAGTAAGGATTTTTTTTTCATATCAAGCTACTTTCCCATTAATATCCTTTTTAACCAAACAAGAAGCTTAATGACAATTAAGGACTTCAATTCATATCAGCCTACTGTAAACGCATGTTCCTTTTTAGCCCCAAACAAATCTGCGGAGAAGTCAGGATTTCAAGTCATATCAGCCTGCTTTCAAGTCATTTTCTTTTGCCACCTTAAAAAAAGATGCAGCCCACGAACCCGAATGTAGTCACGTAGAACACTTTTGTGAAACAAGGTAAATTTGAAAAGTCTTGTACATTTTTCCCTGTTGCCGTACCCGTGCACTATAGACTGTGGGACGCGGAAGAGGGTGGAGTGCAAAGTGTGGAGTGTAAAGTGTAGAGTGCGGAGTGTAAAGTGTAGACTGTCGAGTGCGGAGTGTAAAGTGTAGACTGTAGAGTGTGGAGTGCGGCGTGCAGACTGCGGAGTGCAAAGTGTAGAGTGTGAAGTGTGGAGTGTAAAGTGTGGAGTGTAAAGTGTAGACTGTGGAGTGTGGAGTGCGGCGTGCAGAGTGTGGAGTGCAAAGTGTAGAGTGTAAAGTGTGGAGTGTAAAGTGTGGAGTGTAGAGTGTGGAGTGTAAAGTGTGGAGTGTGGAGTGTAAAGTGTGGAGTGTAAAGTGTGGAGTGTAGAGTGTGGAGTGTAAAGTGTGGAGTGTAAAGTATGGATTGTGGAGTGTAAATTGCTGAGTGTGGAGTGTAGGGTGTGGGTTGTAAAGTGTGGAGTGTAAAGTGTAGAGTGTGAAGTCTAGAGTGTGGAGTGTAAAGTGTAGAGTGTGGAGTGCCAAGTGTCAACTGCAAAGTCCGGAGTGTAGAGTGTGGAGTGTAAAGTGTGGAGTTTGGAGTATGCAGTGTACAGTGAAAAGTGTCAAGTGTGGAGTGCAAAGTGTGGAGTGTTAGAGTGCGCAGTGTGGTGTGTAAAGTAATGAGTGTACAGTGTAGAGTGTTGAGTGTAAAGTGCCGAGTGTGAAGTGTAAAGTGTAGAGTGTGGAGTGTAAAGTGTCGAGTGTGGAGTGTGGAGTGTAAGAGTGCAAGAGTGTAAGGTGTGAAGAGTAAAGTGTGGAGTGTGAAGTGTGGAGTGTAAAGTGTAGAGTGTGGAGTGTAAAGTGTAGAGTGTGGACTGTGGAGTGCGGCGTGCAGAGTGTGGAGTGCAAAGTGTAGAGTGTAAAGTGTGGAGTGTAAAGTGTGGAGTGTAGAGTGTGGAGTGTAAAGTGTCGAATGTTGAGTGTAGAGTGTAAAATGTAAAGTGTAAAATGTGGAGTGTGGAGTGAAAGTGTAGAGTGTGGAGTGTAAAGTGTGGAGTGTGGAGTGTAAAGTGTGGAGTGTAAAGTGCAAAGTGTGGAGTGTAGAGTGTATACAGAGTGCACAGTGTAGAGTCTAAAGTGTACCGTCTGGATTGTGGAGTGTGGAGTGTAGAGTGTGGAGTGTGGAGTTTAAAGTATAGAGTCAAAGTGTAAAGTGTGGAGTGTAAAGTGTGGAGTATAAAGTGTGGAGTGTAAAGTGTGGAGTGTAAAGTGTGGATTGTGGAGTGTAAATTGCTGAGTGTGGAGTGTAGGGTGTGGGTTGTAAAGTGTGGAGTGTAAAGTGCATATAGAGTGTACGGTGTACAGTGTGGAGCGTATAGTGTGGAGTGTAAAGTGTAGAGTGTGAAGTCTAGAGTGTGGAGTGTAAAGTGTAGAGTGTGGAGTGTAAAGTGTGGAGTGTGGAGTGTAAAGTGTGGAGTGTAAAGTGCAAAGTGTGGAGTGTAAAGTGTAAAGTGTTGAGTATGCAGTGTCAAGTGTAGAGTGTGGAGTGCCAAGTGTCAACTGCAAAGTCCGGAGTGTAGATTGTGGAGTGTAAAGTGTGGAGTTTGGAGTATGAAGTGTACAGTGAAAAGTGTCAAGTGTGGAGTGCAAAGTGTGGAGTGTTAGAGTGTGCAGTGTGGTGTGTAAAGTAAAGAGTGTACAGTGTAGAGTGTTGAGTGTAAAGTGCCGAGTGTGAAGTGTAAAGTGTAGAGTGTGGAGTGTAAAGTGTCGAGTGTGGAGTGTAAGAGTGCAAGAGTGTAAGGTGTGAAGAGTAAAGTGTGGAGTGTGAAGTGTGGAGTGTAAAGTGTAGAGTGTGGAGTGTAAAGTGTAGAGTGTGGAGTGTAAAGTGTAGAGTGTAAAGTGTGGAGTGTAAAGTGTGGAGTGTAAAGTGTAACGTGTGGAGTATGCAGTTAAAAGTGTAGAGTGTGGAGTGTCAAGTGTCAACTGCAAAGCCCGGACTGAAAAGTGTAAAGTGTGGAGTTTGGAGTGTAAAGTGTAAAGTGTAGAGTGTGGACTGTGGAGTGTGAAGTGTGGAGTGTAGAGTGTGGACTGTGGAGTGCAAAGTGTAGAGTGTGGAGTGTAAAGTCTGGAGTGTAGAGTGCGGACTGTGGAGTGCAAAGTGTAGAGTGTGGATTGTAAAGTCTGGAGTGTAAAGTGTGGAGTGTAAAGTGTAGAGTGTGTTTACACCCCCCACCACACCACACGGGGGTAGGGGGACAGTGCTATGGCTGACCCATGACCATTGCCGGGGGGAGGGGGGTTTGAACGCTGGACCATATATAGTGGCTAGTTTTTTGATTATACATGGCATGTTTAAATGTCGAAGACTTGCGCGAAAACTGGGAATGATGACGACCTCCCAAAGAATCCGTAGAAATTGCACCAGGAGTCGACCCGACAAGCTCCTCGAAGATGATGCCCAGGTCGAGTCACAACAAGGTAACTTGGTGTGCCAAGCCATAGTCAGGTATGCAACCATCGTGTCTGGCTGTTGAAGGGAGATCATTGATGAAGCATGGTCATGTTTCAAAATTTCCCAACAATCATTTTCACATGGAACACCCGCTGTGAAACCCAAGGAGCACGTAAATTTACATGTTCTGTTGGTTTCCTATTGCTATAGATTCATTTCCTGGGAAGGTCAACGACAAATTTTCGAATATGATTCAGTTGGTTCAACAAGAACGTGATAATTAGCAAAGGTAACTGCTTAACTTAACAAACTAACTCAAATCGTTTTGAGATGTTGAACTTGAGTTGAGACATTCCAGTTTGTGTGCTGTGAAAGTTTTGCCCGACATATTTCCACCACTTGTCCAATCATTTCGCAGACCCCCCACTAACCCACCCAGTTACATATGTGTTTTTGTTTTTTATACCTGATATAAAGAATAACTTACTCATTTGCGGGGCTTAACATTGTAATCTATTAAATGATGATGTAACATGTTTTATTGTAGTTGGTTTACGATTCTTGAAACGATTGCTTCATCCAAGCTTCCGGGTACATAAATGTATTTTTTCTTGTGGACGTGCCGCCCAGTGCAACAGCCGCATGTTGTCGTTAAACAATGATAAGCAATGAACAAGCCTTCATTCATGGTTTAGAAATGTTTGGAGTAGGTAGGTTCCCTTGGCCCACTGGTTCCTAGTCTCCGAGGGAAGCCTGAAAGCTTTCAGGCCGGGTGGAGGGCCATAGCCATACTTTAGTACTTTCAATGGAGGTTTTCACCAGTTGTCTCTGACTCTGGGGCCCATGACATTAGATTATTCGTCAGATTTCATTACACGAATCATGGGACAGCTATAAGATAACGGACGTGCCGTAGTCTCACCATAGAACCATGAAGCTGAGATGTCTTTGCAGGAAGTAGTCCTACACATCCTGCATCAAAGCATCCCATGCAGTATGGCAACCATCATGAAGGTCGGATCCCTTGTTAGTTCTTGAGGGCCATGTATAGGGACCTAGGGTCATTGTAGGGCCTGAACCTGTGGTGGATTTTCAATGGCCATTCGAACAGCGCGGATCAGTTTTATATACTAATATTTGCTCCTGCACTTCAGATCCTATAACCTTCAAATGCGCTGTGCTCATTGTTGCTATGAGCGCCTTAATCATTTTTATTGCGACCCCAACGGGTTGAATACCAATACAAAGTGCAACTTGATAAAAGTCATGTGCCACGCATCATTTTCTCCTTTCGGTGGTTGCCCTGAAATCCTGCCAACCTCCCGCGCGAAGGTCTTCGCTTATGACCGGCCTCGATTCTCCGGTTTTCAGTTTCAGCCGGGTCACAGCGCCGATGTGATGCAATGAAAGGCTGTCCTTCCTGATGCCTGGAGTGTAACCATCAAACATGGGTACCTTTGAGTCATATTTGGGAAGTTCCTTGAAAGTACATTGACGTGGAATAGGAACATAGTCAGCATAGTGAGAGTGGGTTTGTCTGAATGGCAATAGAAATAGAAACAGGTAGATGCCTGGTATAAGGGGGCAACAAATGTCTTGTTCAAGGAGAGCAACAGTCAACAAAATACCGCAGTGAAAAGTAGTGTGCGGTTGGCCTTGCAAATTAAGCTTTGGGCTGAGGCTTGGAAAACGATACCATAGTGACAAAATGTCAATATCCCCCTTCTTTAACCCTGGAATATTTGGGGGGGTACGACAAGAAATTTCTGAGAAATATTTCACCTGACCACATGAAATATACCCCCAACATGTTTTTGGAGTTCCAAAAGGATTGGGGGGGGGTCCTCCAGATGCCACAATTTAGCGCAGAGATGGTATGGCACACCCTTTAATTTTCAACATACATATATATGGTACCCCTCCCCAAAACCTACCTTTTTTACATTTGTATTGGTATTTACAGTATTTTATGTAGATTATTAGCTGGAGTGAATAAAGCTGAAAAAAACTAAAAACTAGAGTTGAAAACACTGAAACAAAACTATAAATTTTAGGAACTATGTCTAGCCCCAAGTCTAAACTAAAAAAACAGAAAAAATGAAAAACTGAAAAAACTGAAAAAACTATAATTTTTGGGAACTATGTCTAGCTCGAGGTCTAAACTGGAAAAACAACTGAAAAAACTGAAAAAACTAAAAAAATGAAAAAACTGAAAAAACTATATTTTTGGGATTTTTTGGGTAACTATATCTAGATCTGGGTCCCAGCCATAGTTCTAGAAAAATATAGTTTTTTCAGTTTTTTCGGTTTACGGATGGAATCCGCAGTATTTCCGCGAAGAGGCCCCTTTTATTTATCTCCTGCTGGTTCCCGTTGCCATTGCCTCATGGCTGCGGCTTCTCGTCCGGACAGTCCGGAGATCCAGTATGAGGATGATTTTTGGGAGTGCCTTGGACGCGAACCATCCTGTTAATACTTTCCAATGGCATTTGTAATTCTGGTCTGCTTCATCCCTTTCAACGGCTGTCACTGCAATCCTGCCTTTCAAATCTGCCCATTGCTTCAACATTGTTCCCATCCAAGGTCTGCGTGGACTTTGCCACCTCTCACCGACCCAAGCTGGTGGGAGTCACGTCCTTATGAGGAACGGCCACGCGACCGATCCCGGAGTCCAAGAAAGGGCCCCACGAACTCCGCCTGGCCCGCCTCCTCCCACTCCTCCAACCGAGATTTCGCCACACGTCGGCACAAGGGTGCCGATGACACCGCCCGAGCTGCTCGGACCGGCGCCGTGCACACCAGAAAGCCAGTAAGTCATGGAAGTGGTTTTGGAAAAGAATGTGGGCACAAAAAGTAATTAATTGTTTTGCTGCAGATAGGTATTCCTTTAGCTGCTTTCTGGTGTGGGCGGTGAGCTATGATGCTGGCATACGGCATGCGCATTACGTGTTTATGAAGACCAGATCAGAGCACTGCAGCGAGAGAAAAATAATGCTGAGCTGCTTGTGCCTTGTCTACATGCACAGTTGCCTTGTCTACATGCACAGCCAAGAATGCGCACTGAAGTCACTATATATCACACCCGTAATTGCTTCAGAAATAATCATATGAAAACCCTTGCTGTGAATAACCTAGACCCTCCTCACTTCAAGTAACATGTGTTTGTGTTGTCTTGTCACAATCCTACCAATGACTTTGTCTGCCAATTGAACTCTGTACAAAAAACTTGCATCTGCTTCATTTCATGGCTACCAATCTTCTAAACCAACGCAACTGTCTGTGTCAACCTGCATCCTGCTACAGCCACTTCTGCTCATACAATTTCCTGTTTCCGCTTCTGCTGCACAATGGCTGTTGCTCCTGAGGACATGAACTTGGAGCAATTGGAGGCTGTCTGCGATGGGTACATGTGTCGAGCCCTTCCGGCCCCTTATGTCTCAGCAGCTCTCCCCCGTGGCAGTTGGAACCATGTGAACTTCCCCATGATCGAGATTCAGGATGGAGAGAATCCTATGGTGCACTTCCTGGAAGTCGTGGCAGGCTACACAATGCAAACTTCGTTCGAGGACTTGGGGTTGCACTACAAACGAGCTATCACCCATCAGGATCTGCAACTGTTGCCTCATCCATTTGGTCCTAAGATAGCTGTAGCAAGTCAGGTCAAGATGCAACTGGTCATTGTAGAAGAAGATGATGGAACAGCAACCGTCTTCAAGCATTACATGTTCCCAAACAAGGCCAAAGCATCCTTTGTCAAGAACCTTGCCTTTGGAACTTTGTACAAACCTAGTTTCATGAGTCAGAAGCCAACTGTGGGCAAGAAGATTTTGCAATATTGCTTGCAAAATATGAGTGGGAGGCAGTTTCATTGCTTTGATCTGTCCACCGAGACCGCGGCCAGTCAAGCAAAGCTGAAGGCTTTTGAGGAGCTGGATGATGATGCCCTCGAATGCGGCTTTGAATTCTTGAGGAAAAATGCGCCCCGAAGCGGCAGTGATTTACAGCAACTCTCTTGGCAAACAAAAGAAATTCGCAAGAAAAGCTTTGCGCTGCTTGTCCACAGAAGGCGCCCTTGCGCGCAAGGAATTCGATTGGCCCCTTCCCTTGACAGAGAAGTTCTTCCAGAAATGGATCTTGGAGAAGCTGGAGAAGACTTGGAACTTCGATGTGGCTGCTTTAGTGATGCTGGGAGAACCTAACACTGGTAAAAGTCCTTTGGGTCGGAGCATCCTCATGGCACAATGCCGGTATAACCGGACGCGCTTCAGTCGTGAAGAAGCTCCATGCATCCGATGCACCCCTGAGGTAGACTTTCTCCGTGGCGAGGCTGGATCAGTCATCATGGGCGACTTCTTGGATGATCCTGAGATGCAGCATGTGGGTCTCAAAATCCTCAAGTCTTTCTTGGACGTTGGCTTGTACGAGTCCATGGCCTGGGCTCGCTGGGGTGCATCCAAGTGGGTGCAAAACCAACCTCGTGCCATCGCCGCCAATGCCTACGATGCTTCTGTGGATGAAGGCAGTGCGTTCGTTGGAACTCTTCCTTTCAAAAGCTTCTGGGAGATGATCCGTCCGGCAGTGTCTACCAATGCCTCTCACGCAGACATCAATGCTCTTCTCAAACGATTTGTCTTTATTGTGGTGACCAAGACGTTTGTCTACTTCAGGCCTGATGGTGTGAATGAAGATCCTGTGGAGCGCATTGCGGTCGACCACCCCGATTTCCTCACTGCTGATGGCAAGGAGTTCTATGGCATGTTCAAATCCAACAACAAGACCATCCCTCCAAATTTTGACACTGAAGTCAAAAAGGAGCAGGCGTGGATCTCTGCCATCATGGCGAAATGCTTCGAGTCCCGGCGCCCAGACAGCAAGAACCGTGAGAAGATGCGAGAAGCTCTGTGGGGCTCCAGTTCAAGACCTTCTACATGTCTAGAGAAAGCCCATGCTAAGGCCAGTGCAGAAGATGGATTGGAAGAGCGAAAGCACAGCATCCCGTATGTCAAAATGGAATCACAGGAGTAGCTTGGCTTAAAACATATTCTTGCAGTACCTGCCTCTTACCACATTGCATACTTCAATCTCATGTTCCAACTGTTATTTCAAACCGTCTGCTTCAAACTGTCTACTGCAAGCCTTCTGCTTCACATGGTCTGCTAAGGTACACAGATGGGAATGCGTTATTGGCTCGTGAAACACGCCGGGATCCCATCGACGTGGACACAGACCGGGCCAGCTTTGGATGGACCAATTGGGATGTCGACAAAGACAAGAAGGACCGTGTGGAAGTGAAGCGGGAGCGCGCGGTCTTTCAGTCCCTTCGTCCTGGAACAGGTGTGATCGATCTCAGCAGTCCTTCGCCAGTCCGCAAGAAGAGCAAGGCTTCACTGGGAGCATCTGTTCCGAATCCTGACGCAGCTGAGCTCGGTCTTCCACATGACGCAGAAGAGTGCCCAGATCCAACCTGGAGGAACTGGAGAAGGTGATGGATGCTGAGTTGGATATCCTTGCTGAGGAGCTTGCTGGCTTCCATGACTGCAGCCTACGCTGAAAGCGGATATAGTAGCGGACTGAAACTTAGAATGCCGCACCCCTTCCGGACGCGCTGTCCTAAAGAATGCCGCCGCGGGGGCAAAATCTTAAAAAACCCCGGTAAAATGCAATTTTCGGGTACCTGTAATTTGCCCGGGTCTTTTTGTAATGAGTCGTTCGTAGGTAAATTTTGTGAGAAATTACAGCGTAATATGACATTGAGTGCCACACATAGAATGCCTCCGGCCAAAAAGTCCCGGTCGCAGCATGTCAAACATTTGAAGCCAATATTTTCAAAATACTTGGTATACGCGGGGTTTTATGTACCTTGTGCAGCCCACATAGAATGCCGCCAAAAACATATACAAATGTCATCATTCTGTTGCAAAATCTCTGTTCTTTTATGAAACACATGGTTTGAAGGATTGTATAAATTTACTATTTCATATGAATAATTGTATATAAATCCAATCTCATGGGAGGTATCCTTTCCTTTTTCCTTTCCTTTTTCCTTTCCTTTTTCCTTTCCTTTTTCCTGTCCTTTTTCCTTTCCTTTTTCCTTTCCTTTTTCCTTTCCTTTTTCCTTTCCTTTTTCCGTTCCTTTTTTCTTTCCTTTTTCCTTTCCTTTTTCCTTTCCTTTCTCCTTTCCTTTTTCCTTTCCTTTTTCCTTTCCTTTTTCCTTTTTCCTTTCCTTTTTCCTTTCCTTTTTCCTTTCCTTTTCCTTTCTCCTTTCCTTTCTCCTTTCCTTTCTCCTTTCCTTTCTCCTTGTTCTCCTTTCCTTTCTCCTTTCCTTTCTCCTTTCCTTTCTCCTTTCCTTTCTCCTTTCCCTTTCCTCCTTTCCTTTTTCCTTTCCTTTTTCCTTTCCTT